TTAAACAAACATTTGTGACTCCAGTTAACATGCAGGAATTCTCTCATCCTCTAAATTCGGGGAGTGTGTGCAATGTCGCCTTGAGTTATTCGCAAGAACATCTGATCGTAATTCAGTTGATTCCGAGTGACCTTTCCTGCCATGAAACAAAGTTAACGATCTTAGAGGGCAATGAAATTGTCGAGACCCATTCGCTCGATGGAGTTCGCTATTGCCAGAATGTCAACGGATTTACCCGTTGGCTCCGAATTTCATATTAATTGCATACGTGCAAAGTTATATCGGCAATGAGTCCTATACGCACCAAGAGTTGGGGGTGGTGATAGATGAGAATGGAGTCACACAAAGTAATATAACACTCGGATTTTTGAATATGACAGATGGAGATCCGTCAGAATTAGGTTATGCTGTGGTGAATGCAGATTCAAGATATGGATTCATCTGGGTGAACTTTCAGAAAGGATCGGAGGTAAAATGGAAGCTTTATACCTACGAGGTGTACGATTCGAACGAGATACAACTGTAAGTTCCCTATCCGTTGACAAGATTCTTCATCGCATCCGTCCGAACTCAATATATTTTAATACTCCTTTCTATGCGCGCACACAATAGAAATGGTGACAGCACGGCTTCGGGGCAAATTCCGTCACCAATCGAAGATTGCTTCGTGATATCAACTGCAGACGACAGTTATTGCTTCGTGACGGTCGAGCGTAACGAAAATGCATCATATCTATGGTCAGCGTATGTGAGTTTCCTTCGTCCCAACGCCTCTCAAGTGACATCTAAAATCTTCCTATTTGGTCACATGTATCGCCTCCAGCTTAAGATATGCTCAGAAACAAATTACGAACCCGGTGCCGAGTGCATAATAGAAATCGAAGCAAACAACACTTCATACCTCCGTGTAACGTTTCTCACTACCGGCGCCGTCAAGGATATTTTCGCATTTCATGATACCTTCGGTTATTCGGTGAACCAAATTATAACGTTGTTCGATGGCCAATACCTTTTGGTTGGATCTCATGAGTCTGGGAATGGTACGAATTCAAGCTTCATGGGCATCTACGATTCCACCGGGAGTTATTTGTACAGTTTAGATTCGTCCAAATTCCCAGAAGTCAACAACGACTCCCTGTTATACGGAGCGTCTCCCAATAAAACTGTGTTGATGGTTTACGACTTGAACACCACCACTAATGGCGATTTGAAATATTTTACGTTTGATGTGACGAGTTCCAATAATTCTGGTGGGTCAATTAACATCGAATCTTTAAAGGCATCAAAGAAAGAAAGCGTGCATCGGTTAACCAGATTACTCTTTGGTTAGGACAAAAAAATGTTTACGACGACATAGCGATACAAGTGCATCAGAATGTTGATTCCGTAACACCGGACACACAGAATATCAATATCACATTCCCCATAGCCGTGGTGCCTTCCACCGGTAACATTTCAATCTACGAGATCAGAGGTCCAGGCAATATGATATTAAAACAATCGTATAGCGCTCAGGATACAATGTACGTTAAGACGCCCAACAACGAAACATTGGAATTGACGGTTCTGAGGAGCACATTCTTCACACTGAATACGAATTATTCTGTGGTGATGGAAAATAATTTCGTGAAGGACGCGAGTGATTATGAGCCGTTCTTGGGCACGTTCAGAATTCTTACGACCGGTTAGTATTCCTGGTGCGTGGTGGGAAGTTGAAAATAAAAGAATGACCTCGGTCGCATCATTGCTAAATCTCGTGTTTTTTTTTACTTACTCCACTCCAGGAATGGTCGATGAATCGCCCGGAGGTACGGTTTTTAATCAACCGGTGACCTTCCCCATTTATTTAAATTGATATTAATGTTAATCTTGTAATTATGTCCACAAGGTGACGAGCGTGGTCTCGTTCGCTTAACGGAAGAGGCTTCAAACGAATATTGGGGTAAGAGGGTCACCATCGAACCGTTCAAAAATCTAACCCGCGAATTATGCACCATACTCTTCTTCTCACCCTGTCGACTGCAACTTGTCGGAAGATGGCAATGGGATTCCAACAGACAGATCATACTTAAAATTGAGATTTCCAACAGCGCGAATGGTCGGAGTGTAAATTCCGTGGCCTTGGCGTTAGATTCTTTGATTAGGAATAAGAATGTATCATCGGTGTCATGGTATCCGACTACTTTGTTACTGGACAGTGAATACGGTTTCCAGGTGACAGGTAAGCAAGAATTTATGGCCTGCTTTAGAGGAGTGTGATGTGGGAAGTGATCGAGTTCTTAAATGGGGTCAACAAAATGACACCATCCCGTGTTAATGTTTTCGTTTATGACTGACAATCTCCAGAAACCGTATGGGAACAGTACAAATATAATCTATTTGGTGTCGGCTCCGTATTGCTACTCTGCGCCGTTCTTGCGTTGCTTTCGTACGGGAAATATGGGGAGGTGAGTGCATTTCACTTACACCCAGTCGGTTTTCCATGACTCACCATTTTTTTAACTCGCACCACTGGATGTTTTTCAGGGAAATGGTTTCATAGTGTTCCGAATACTTTTGATCGGATTGGATTTTGTGTTAGATGTGTTGTTTGTGACATTCTACGCACAAGATATTTATATGTTGTTTTATCCCACGTATGTTGGTTCATGACGGATGATCTCCGATAAGTTTTTTCTTCAATGAAAATTGATCACTCTTTCTCTTCCGTTTTGTCTCCCCAGATTGGCCTTCACGATAGCATCCATAGCGTTCAATACCTTGATAGGCTTCATCGTCATTATCCGAGAAATCACCAAAAACGATCGTTTCGCCAAGTGGTTCCGTACTTATCACAACATTGCCACGATATGTTCGATTTCCTCCGCGATAGACGTCGAATTCCTTACGGTCACACATTCCAGGTTAGGGGGTTTTCGAGCATTCAGTGCTCCGTTATCGAACGAGGCTAAACGATGGATTTACTGGAGTAGCATTGTGAACCTGGTGATCGAGGACATGCCACAGTTGGTCATTCAGGTGGGATGAAACGACAATCTACTACTTTTACTTTACTCTCTCATCTTGGTACAGTTTTCCCATTGATCAACTCAACAACATCTACTCCCTTAATACACCGTCATCCTCTTTAGATCGCCTACATTATACTTTGCGTGAACTATAAAATAATCCCCTTTCTAAATTTGGTCACCGCCTCACTGTTATTTTTCGTATTAGTTCTTGGCAAACTTTACCAGCTTTACCGTCGTCTAACTGATGATGACGATCACATTTCGGACAGAGGAAGTGTCAAAAGCATGACGAGTATAACGAGCATCAGAAGTGTGAGTCAAAGGAATGGTGCCGTTATGCCACCACCCCCAGCTGCAGCGTGGAGACCTCTGACGCACGCGGAGAGGAATATCATACCAGACTCGCCACTGGCCAGAGGTAGACAGAATTTTGGAGAAGAGGGTAGGAACGTAATGTATGATGGTGATGAGAGAATGAGACGGTATGGTTCGAAAAAGGACAAAAGAAATAATCGTCCCATAAATGTAGACGATGATAACGGCGAGAGGTCGCGGCTGTTGGATATGGATGGAGATCGACGACGATCGATAACAATAACACATCCGATGGAATATGGCGGTGATGGTGGTAGAGGAGTTTTCGGTGATCAAGAGAGTTTACAATCGGATGAAGATGAAAACGATCTCATCGATTCGGTTAGTGAACATTCTTCAGATGATAATGAACCAAGCAATTCACGCACGGCACGCGGTAGTAAGTTGCCTTTAGGTGTAAAAATAAGCACCTATGCCTAGCGGGGGATCACAGGGGTCTATCAAAACATAATCGCCACGCACCATAATCTACTAAAGAGGTAATATTTAAATGTGATAATTAAGCGTCACTTATCTTTAAACCTAACACCATTTATAATGGTCAGTGAAGGGAATTGGAATTTGGAAATGCGTGACTTAATATACATGTACAGTATCGGGAAAATGTGATTTTATTGCGATTATTTGTAATCATATTTTGTATAGAAAAAATTCCATTATTTATGTTGTATTTAATATCAAAGAAAAAAAAAAATAATAATAAAGTGTGAATAATGAAAACTGTCTCGAATAGAATCGTTCGATTCGAAGGAGGGTCTTTTTAAAGGAGATTTAATATTTAAATTAAAAACCGACCGTTAACCTTGACTGACTAGTTGGGAAAATTGGGCAAAAGAAAAAAAAAAAGAAGTACCGGTAATAAAATTGACTCGTGTGTCCTCTTTATTAGCTTCAAAAGGCAATCCCCTTGCTTGAATATTCCCGTTTTTCGACCAATTCCCTTCTCAAAGCCTCAACCTCCCCTCCTTCACATCCAAGGTAATCATCCGAATTACTAGCAACATCCATTATTGCACACAACATCGCTTTCACTCTCGACCTCACTGAGAACCTGCCGTCGATGTTGCTCGTAATCCTTCATCCACATTCTCACCGATTCAATTGCGTGCGCGGAAGAAACCTTTTTCAAGACATCATAAAAGTTTTCCAATGTCTGATTAAGAATCGCGGTGTTATTACGGTCACAAGATTTTCGGTGTATCTTAATAGGTTGAAGAAGCGGGGGTGATGCGAGTGGAACGTCGTCCCCGGTGAAGTGAAACTCCTTTTTTATGAATTCGTTTTGGTTCGGGAGGATCTTGGTGGCCTGAATCCGACTTTTGGAGGGTAGCGTTCGACCAAAGATCTGACTGGATGTATGACGGGTGTGGGATGAGGGGGGAAAAGATTTTTGGTTCGTGTGATGGGACGTGATAGGAGCGCTGAGGTGTTGAGTGAACGAGGGTTCGGCCGTTGAAGTATTAGCTTGCGTTGGTGAAGACATCCTGTGTGAATTTTTCCCTATTGAATGCTTGTTTGTTCCTCGAGAATGAGACACTCCTTATGATGTGATTCCAATTGTCTTTCTTCTAAATAAGTCTTCCAAACGAACATATCGATGAAACAAACTTTCCGGCCTGGTTTATATACAAATAGTTTCAAGACTTTTTTATACGATAAAACAAAAAAAAGTTGCCGTTGGAGGGAAAAGTGGCGCTGCGCGTTGACGCGCGTTATGCTGGAGCGCAAACATTCTCGGAGGTGAATTGCCCCAGAATCGACAAAAACCAACCTCGATTTCTTTCTCATTTGCACGTCTCGAACCTAATTTCGCTTGTGAGCAATCAATAATTACCCCCCCGAAGAAGACAATAACACTGACCGACAGTACCTATGATTATTGATTCAGCAATCGAGTTTTCCTTTTGAGCAATACAATCAACGTAAACAAAAACGTGCCACCGAAAAAAGTTGACATCATCTTTTCTGGATGAGAAACGTAAACGAGAAATTACATTTATTGGCCACATATGGGCAATCAATTATTTTACAAAGGTGAAAAAGAAGTTCTCGGAACCCCTCCGAGTGATAGCACCTGCATTGTTTAGGTTCCAATGTTCAACTTAAAACAGACCATTCCGGAATATGCGCACAAAGTTAAAGCACGAGAATCCTGCAATCAGCTTTTGTCGGATTGCCCATTTTTAATCATAAATGCAACTTACTCTGGTGAAATAATTACGCTCTTGCATACTATGATAGAAACTACTATATCTTGATCACAATCAATATTCTACCCTCTGTCTACTCATACTCAATAAGTTAATCAACAATCCGTATGATTTGTTCAACTGTTCAGACTATAGTTAACCGTTTGAAAAAAATCGTTTGATTATAAAAACCATCGTTATGATAAACTAAATAGATTAAGTTAACTATGTAAACTACACAAACTTTATAGATTGTTAACTAACTATTCAAACTATTAAGTCTATTAAGTTTATTAATTCATTTGAATTTGTTTTACTTGTTTGATAAATAATGTATTGAAAAAAATATAAAATCGCTAGAATTTCTTTTTTACTTACAGTATATTGAACAAAGATGTCTACTTATAATGAAGATGATGCTAAAATATTGGTCGAAGTAAATATCTAATAAAAAACAAAAGTTAATGATAGTCGATATTTTGATCAGGTATTAATAATATAAGATATGCAATTTGCAAGATACTGTATGTGGTGTAAAGTATAAGATCAATATACTGTATCTACAAGTAATTGTTTTTCTCACCTTTCAAATGTTTACGAAATAATCAAAAATCGAGATAAAGATAATATAGGGCTAGTCACTATACCTCATAATGAATTACATCGACTTCAATTACATCAATATCTTGTAAATTGAATTTTAATTGATTCATAATCACTTATCATTCTTCAAAAAAATTTATAACTGAATTAAATCTAAAATTTTAAATTCCATGTATTAAATATACCGTATAAAGAAACTTATATATCTTGCATATAATTATTCATCCAAGTCAATTATGGAAAAAGTGAAAAATGAATTTATTTCTATTTTTTTAACAGAAATACAGTAAAAGAAATTGATAAAAATTTTAGATATAATATGTTTAAATATAAATCATGAATTTTATCCTCATAAAATTATACTTTCTATCAATTATATTTATTATAGTTAAAAATATTAATAATACCATTCTTTTATTATTAATAACTATAGATAATAATAGAGATATGCAAAAAAAATTGTTAAATATTTAAAACAATTAATAAAAAATAGAATTTAACAACTATATACAATACATATTCTATTATAATTATTAAAAAATTGAAATAAATTAAAATTCTAATTAGATATATCAAAAGTTTAATAGATTTTTTTTAAAATCAAAGCAATTTGAAAATTTAAAAAATATATAAAATTAATATAAAAGATCAAATAAAATTTATAAGTTTTATTATATATATTTATGTTTTTATTTACTAATTTTTTTGATATTATAGAAATATTTTATTATATATTTATTTAAATTTATTTAAATTTTATAAATTTATTATTAATTATTACTTTATTTTAAAATATTAAAAAATATTACAATATTCTAAAAATATAATAGTAGTATATTAACTTATTAAACTCTAATTACTTAACATAGTATTGATTTTTAAAATTAAAAAATATATTTATACAATATTTGACTATAAATCACAGTTATTTTTAATCTATTTGTTTTAGTTTATATTTTAATACTATAATTTTTTATAATTCAAAAGCATATATACAACTGCTTCCAAAAATTTGAGTTTACTTATTATGTTTTTATTATAAATTTTAATTTTGACAATTTTTAAATCCTTAATTATACATAAAATTTTTATATATAATTTTTAAAGTTTTATTTTTATTAAAAATTTTCTTCTTTTATTAAATTTTTACTTTTGGAGAATTTTAATTAGCTATTATCATAAATTATATAATAATTAATAAAAAAATAAAGATATTTAATAATAATAAAACTTTAAAATATATTAATAAAAATTTTTTTAAAAAAATATAAGAAATAAAATAAATATCAATATATGATATATTTATGATATATATATAAATTTTATAATTTTTAATAATATAATTAATAATTTAAAAATTAACAAAGTTGAAATTTATAATAAAAACATAATAAGTGAACTCATCCAAACTTTTGAAAGCAACTGTAATCATAAAATTTAATAAAAAAATCTTTAGCCTTAATAATTATATTTATTTTATGTTTCATACTAATTACAAAGTTTGATATGTTTTTTATAAAATATTTTTTTATTTCTTCTTAAGAACTTGATTTAAATTTTTTAAAGTTCTAGGCAAATATATATACAGTATATACAGTATATATATATTTATTAAATTCATCTCAAATATTTTCAATAGGATTACAATTCAAACTTTTTGTAAATCAAAATATAATATCAATATTTACTTGTTTTTTTCACTATTTTACATCAGTTTCACATTATGTAATTTCATTATCTTTTTATAAAATAAGTTGAATATTATGTATTACTTGAATATATATATATTATATAATATTTTTATTAATAATTACTAGTAATTCAAGTTCATTATATCAAAAGTAATCCCAAACTATAACAAAATTACCATTGTTTTATTTTTTAGATTGTATACATTCAATAAAATATTTTTTTTTGGTTGATATCAAACAAGTATATATCTATCACTATAAATTAAATTAAATTTAAATTCATTATTTTAAATAATATATTTGCAATTTATACTTTTTTTTTTTATCCTTTGTTTAAATTAATCAAGATTCTATATATTTTTTAAACAATAGTGACTTTAATGCTATAGTATAGGCCTTTAATCTCATTATATAAGCAATATTGAATAATATATTCCAAAATCTTGATTTCTAAGCCTTGATTAAATTTTTGAGTAATAATCTATATAAAAGCATATTTATTTTTTTTTGATTATATATTCTAAAGTATAAAAATTATAATTTTTTAAAATAGTTAAAGATTCAAAATATTTTTTTAATATTGCAAAACCAATATTAGCCTAACGATCAATTATATATAGTATATTTGTATAAAAATATTTGTTGAATAATGAATATTAAATTTTATTAATTTTAGCTTTATATATATCAATTATTTGACTATGATCAAAATTTGACAATTTTTTATATGTTTTAATTTTTTTTTTTTTAACCCACAGTCAGGTTAACATGGCATGTCTTTATTGTATATATGCTAGGTATTTACAAATTTTATAACTTTCACATATTAACTCACTCATCATCGAAAAATTGTTTCTTTAAATACAACCTAGGGAATGATATTTCGCTCCTTTATTAATTTGGAATATTTCCTCTAATTAATAAATTCATTGCCTACAGATCATTACTATAGATCATTCTAAGTTCTGTCTGCAGTTAAAAACCAAACCACTTTATTTCATAACAGATCCAATTCTTGATAATCATTGTATACTTTTTTCCTTCTATTTATTTGGTACCTTCTAGGCTTAAATCCTCTAAATATAATAACACTTCTTTTTGTTCCTATTCAATCTGTTCGTTATATCTAAACTTGAGCCTCTTGTTTCTTTTGTTCTCTTCTATAATATTTTACTTTTTTTCTCATTCTATTACTTGGGCACAGCGAGTATTCCAGATCTCCTTTTTAAAATTTTCTCTCATCTTTTAACAGAGTTTACCAATTATACCTTATGTATTTGCTGGTAGGATCTTGAGCTGCTCTTTGAGATGCTTCTTCAAGGAGATGGTCTTGCTTTATTCCATATATTCACAGATAGTATTGAAAAGACCCCTATCAGATTTCTGGATCTCTTCTAACCATTTGTCTGTCCAGTCACTTATCTTA